ATCTTTTCTTGATGCATTCTGCATCATTCAATAATGTGCCCAGAGAATCTTTCAATAATGAAATTTGAGACTTGAATTTTTTCTTCAGTTCCCCCAGCTTGAGAAATGCTGACTGTGTTTTTCCTTTTTGGTTTTCTAATTCTAAATCTTTGCATATTTTACAGTGCCATAAATTTCAAAAATATATGATGTATGAAAATAAAGTCAAAATACAGAGAATGTTTGTTGGATGATCCAACATACTATAAGGTGATTTATGTATCACTGATTTGCAAGTAGTGCCAACTGTTTTTCAATAATAGAACTAAAGTCTACGACTCATGATTTGAGTTTTAAGGCTCAACTCTTGGTTTTCAGCATATCTGGCTCAATGAGGTAACATAACTTACTTAGGATTCTCAGTTTTTAAACAGCAGAGAGCCAGATCTATGGTGTGCAATCTCTGAATCATTTTGTTAGGGGACAGAGTGAACAAACAGGGACATAGACTTTGAGTATCATGAGGATGAGGTGATCTCTGGTTCTAGTAAAAGGAAACGATTGGCTAGTTTAAAAACATCAATGGCTTACAAGGAATCAAACCATGCTACAATGGGGCAAACAAAAATTGCACTGGGTCCCACTGATAAAGAAAACCTTTCAGCTAGAGATCCTGATTTTTCCCAAGCAGAGAAGGGAACATAACACAGGGGCTGACTAAGACACTTCTCATTTTACCCAATGTCAAGGGAGCACATAATATTGAGCCTTAAATTTAGGTCACGCACTTCAATAACAGTGTATACCATTTATTAATTACTGACTATTTTTAAAGTACTAGTAACAACTCTATTGCGTATTCACAAGTGATTAATAAACTGTGGTGTAAGAAGGCTATTATCACGTACTCTAGGTTGCACATCATATTGTTATTAAGTGTTATTGAGTAGAGTCTGACTCACAACAATCCTGTGTAGGGTTTCCAAAAAGTGAAGCTGCCAACCTTGCAGTTAGCAAGTGCTTATCCTACAGTGTCACACCAGGATTACAAGTTACATAGGATAGATGTTGAATTTTAATTCAGATCCTTCAAGTTTTATCTCATGTTCTTAAATAAACTATTATGTTCTCTGACATATTATTTGTCTAATTATTAATTAAATCAGGTAAATTATGCTTAACAAATATTGTTTTTATTTATTTGACTTAATTTTATGCTCTTAGCAGCTTTTGATATATTGCCATATAACAATGATCTTACCAGCTATGTAAAAATAATCAATCAAGTTGATTATGATTGACAGATATTTTAATGGCAGCAGGATTACACAAGAATATTGACATATAGTCAAGTAAAAACATTGAATCAAAATAAGGTAAGGCATGTATTAATACTGTTAGTCAACAAATCTACTAAAATGTAACAAATCAATCACAATAATATAGACAAATGAATGGATTAAATACCTTCTTCTCTCCATAATATGTTAGCCACTGAAGCATGTTAAAGAAAAGGAGGAGAAAGAAAAGTGAGAAAAGAGGATTTCTGCTGCATATTAATAGAAATCATTATTAAACATGCCCCAGTCTGTCTAGGATAGAACAGGTACATAAAAGTCAGAAAGTAAATTCAACAGATACTTTGAACAAAACAATAAAGTATTGACACTAGTTAATTATGCTCATTGCATTTCTTCAAATGGGCAATTATTGTATCCTATAAAGGTCTTGATAATTAAAAAAAAGAACATTTTATGCATCATTGAAAAGAATATGATATTTAAGATAGTTTTATTTATATCACATTTTCAGAACAAACATTAGTAGCTTAAATTATTTATTTAGTTGAAACTATAGTTAAATTTATTAGTATAAAAAGATAAACATTTAAAATCTTCAATAAACACAGTAAGTAATATTCCTGGACAAGAAAAGTTCTTGTGATTACAGCATTTCAAAAACTATTCAATTTGAGAAGCAAAAATAATTTTTCCAAAATTTTTCTACACTGAAATAGCTCATTTTTAGATGGTATATGTTTTTGTTATAATGTATACTTGTTGCCATACCATATTGTTGTTACTTGCTTCTCTGAAGTCAATTTCAAATTACATTCACCCTGTGCACAACAGATGAAACATGGCTCAGTCTTGTACGATATTCATAACTATTAATATGTTTGAATACATTTTGAAGCCACTGTGTTAATTCTGTCTCATCAAGGATTTTCCTCTTTTTCATTGACTCTGTACTTAGCATAATAGTTTTGTTAAAGTTTATATGTGTTCTCAATCAGTTGTTGTTGTTATGTGCCGTGGAGTCGGTTCCGACTCATAGCGACCCTGTACCGGGTTTCCGAGGCTGTAAATCTTTACGGGAGCACAAAGCCTCAACTTTCTCCGGCGGAACAGCTGGTAGTTTCGAACTGCTGACCTTGTGGTTCGCAGCCCGATTCATAACCACTACGCTAATCAGTAGAGAATTAAAATATTCCAACAGAAAAGAAAAAAAAATTCCAATTGAAAATATTCTCAAAGGAACACTTTTCTTTTACGATTCAGAGTTACCCAAACTCTATATAATATGAAAAGACATAATAAGTAAAAATAAGTGGTAACTAAGGAAAAATATCAGAAACATCTTATTGTTTGAATCAC